CGAAGCGTTTGTGTATAGATGTTCTGTTTTGGGTGTAGCACGCCGTATTAATGGCCTCTGCCCACATAAAGTGTGGCAATCTTGACTGGATGAGCATGGTGCGTGCCGCTTCGACAAGGGTCCTGTTCTTTCTTTCAACCACTCCATTCTGTTGGGGGGTTTTGGCTGCTGCGAATTGCTGTGTGATACCGAGAGATTCATAGAATCCAGTGAGAGTTTGGTTCTTGAACTCGGTACCGTTGTCAGTTCTGATGATTCGAACACTTTGCTGCAGCAGTTTCTGGACTGTTCTGACAAAGGTCATAATGATTTCTGCTCCCTCGTCCTTTTTACGAAGAAATTTTGTCCATGTGTACCGAGAGAAGTCATCAACGATCACCAGTGTATATTTGCGGCCGTTGATGCTTTGGACTCTCAGAGGTCCACACAGATCCATGTGTATCAGTTGCAGCGGTAAAGTAGATGATGGGACAGGCTTTGACTTGTGGGAGCTTCTCGTCATTTTGCCCATTTTGCAGGCACTACAATGATTCTCTGTGGAAGATTTCAACGGAGGAAGCCCCTTCACTAGTTTCTTCGAGGACAAGATGGACAAATTCTTGAAATTAAGATGGGAAAGACGTCTGTGCCAGAGGTTGTTTTGTTCCGTTGAAGCTTTGGACAGCAGACAGATGGAAGTGGTGGATTGAACGCTTTTCAGATCAATAGTGTACAGGTTGGAGGTCCTGTAACACGTTAATAATGAGTTCCCTTCGCTGTCTAGAACACAACATTGTTTGGCAAAGAACCTCACTTCCATCCCACTGTCACAGAACTGTCCTATGCTCAGAAGATTGTGTTTGAGCCCTTTGACAAATGAGACATCCTTGATGGTGACACTGACACAGATGACATCCCCATATCCAAGAATAGGAGATGAGGCGTCGTTCCCGAATCTAACATTGCCTCCGTAACAGTTGGTGTAGTTGCTCAGTAGGCACTTTATTCCGGTCATGTGGGTTGAGCATCCAGAATCCAAGTGCCACACATGACCGTCCTGCAAAACAATTAAACAGGTTCAGGTACCCATCTTGGAATGGGTCCTTCCTCATCATTGAAAAATATTCATTCAAGTTTTGCTTTGAGCTGTGATCTAAGGTCAGCAGCTCTTTCAACAAAAGATCTATCTCTTGTGGGCTTTCCGATAGCCAGATTTGCTTTTGCAGTGGGCCTGATTTTTGGGGCCCACTTAGCAGTTTCTCTTTTAGTTTTGGTGGGTCTGAGATGTCTCATCTTAGGGACCCACCTTTCAGGTTCATGTTGGATGGGTCTTCGTCTGTGGACCCACCTTTCAGTTTCAGTTTGGATGGGTCTTCGTCTGCGGACCCACCTTTCAGTTTCAGGTCTGATAGGTCTCATCTTAGGGACCCACCTTTCAGTTTCAGTTTGTGTGGGTCTTATCTTGGGGACCCACCTTGCTGTTTCAGTTTGTGTGGGTCTTATCTTGGGGACCCACCTTTCCATTTTAGGTTTAGGAGGAGAGTAGACAGGTGCTTTGTGATTGAACGGTTGTTTCTTCAGTTTAGTTTTGAAAATCTCCTCTTTAGAAAGCCGATTAAGATGTTTCCTTGAATGAACTCTGAGAGAATATTTCATATCAGGAATACAAAACGTTCCCTTAGAAGTTCCTTTCTTGGTTTCTCTTTCAGGTTTGAGCTTTCTAAAAGGCTTTGATTTAACAACATTCACATCACATTCATAATTTTGGGGGTCTAGAACAGAATAACCATAAGCAATAGTAGAATTATACAAAGAGCCATGTTCAAAAGATGTCACAGAATTTTTCAGCTTGGGACTCAAGACTGAACTACTAGAAACTGAGTTTACATGGACAGGTTTAGTCTTAGTTTTAGAGTACAAAATGGAGCTGGATCTAGGACCAGGTTTATTCTCAAAAACTTTCTTCTTGCCAGCAGCTATTTCCTTTCTTTTCATCTCCCACTCTTTCTTCTCTTCTCCTCTTCTTTTCACTTCTTGTCCTGTGACAACAGGAGAAGAGTGATGAGTGGCAAATTTTTCAGAAGATTTAGTTTTATCAGAAGAGGTTTGAGCAGTTTTTAAGACAGAATGATATTTTTCACTCAATTCATCAAATTTGCTTAATAGTTCTTGCCAATTGCTTTCAGAATTTTTCTTTTCAGTTTCAAAACGCTCTCTCTCATTGTCAAGGGTTTTCTGAAGATCTGCATATTTTTGGACCAAAGGAGAGATGCATTTGTCTTGACTGGACTTAAAAATTCCAGTTTTGGGAGTGGGACCCATTGGACTTTCGAAGTAAGGAACCCCTTTTGGGACATTAAAAATGTCAAACCCCACCTCGTTGTAGATTACCTTTTCTTTAGAAAGAGCTTTCTCAACCAGAGGAGTATAGTCAAGAGAGGTTTCAATTTTAGGATTACTCCTTTTCTCTTCTTCTTCTTTAGTGGTTTCTTCTTCACTCCCAAATTTCATTTTCTTATCAATGTCTAGAGTTAAGTAAGTTGCATCATACAACTGGTGGCAGTCAACTTTCTTTAAATGACGCGGGTTCGGCAGTCCAAGACCAGCTTTTGGGTTGTAATGTTGAACGTCGCTTATACGATTTAGAAAAACTGTGTGTTCGGTTTGACCTCTTCTGACACATACATCCTCAAGTTCCTTTACTTTGCTTAAAAGGCTGCTTCTTTTATTTCTTAAAAATTCACAGTCAGCTTTAGCTGTGTTTTTCTCAATTTCACTGTCTTGCAGTTTCTTAGTCAGTTCAACTATTTTAAGTTCAAAGCTCTCAAAGTCTGAGGACACCCTTTTGATTTGATCTTTGGCATTTTCAAGTTGAACGCTTAAGGAAGATTTTTGGTCAAGGTTCTGTTTCAGTACCCTGTAATTATTGTCTAATCTCTCCTGCAGTTCTTTAATGAGGTGGTCCTTATTGTGTAAGGACTGAGTTTGTATAGTGTGAGAGTGATTAGAGGTACTTACAGTGCTTGTAGAGCATTCACTTCCGGGGATCGCAGCATCACCCTTTTTCTCTTCTTCATCCTCCAGCCTTGCCATCAAAGCGAAGTTCTCTTCCTCTTCTTCTTCTTCTTCAGAATCATCTTCCGCCCACTGGACCAGCTCAGCATGTTTGCCAGAGGCTTCTACTTCCTCCTGTTGTGCTAAGAAGAGCTTTTGTTTATTCATTAGAATCTTTTTTTGTAGAAGTTTGCATCTCTCTTCTTTGGGAGCCGACAGTCTTTGCTGATATGTCCAGGCTTCCCGCAGTTATAGCACACAGGGGCATTAACAGTTGATGTAGCCTTCCTGGCTGAGCTTTGGTCCTGGTTCTTTTGTTTGTAGTTGGAAGAAGAGGTTCGCAGCTTATTTGAAGAGCTGTTCCTCTTGGCAAACTTCTTGGCCAGCAGGGCCATCTTCTTCTGGAGATCTGCAAGCTCAGCTTCAAGATCAGTTCCTTCTTCATCACTCTCATCTTCATCAGATTCAACCTCCACTACTTTCTTCTTCTTCTTCTGCAGAGGTTTCGCCGTTCTTTTGGGCTGAGCTTCCATTAGTAGAGCTAGAGGATTTGGGATTGATTGTTCCTCAGTGCATACAACGTCATTGACGAACTCCTTTAGCAGCTCATTCAAGGTGAAGAGATCAATTTCATCCATGTCAATGCGTTGTCTCAAGTCCTTTACTGTTTTACTCCAAGATGGGTGCAGACTAGACAAAAATCTAGTATTCAGTTCCAGGTTGGTTCTGAATATTTTGATTTTCCTCATTTCATTCATCAGCTTCACAAGCCTGGCATGAGTCTCGTGAAGAGGTTCTCCAGGAGCAGCTTTGAACGAGTCATAAGCCATCAAAATAGCAGATTTCTTGGTTTTTAGGCTTATGCTCGTGCCTTGGAGTAATTTTTCAATCTCGTCCCACATTTCTTTTGCAGTTTGCATACTGTCAATCATCACGTACACTTCATTTGGGATGGCTTGGAGAAGGTATGTTTTGGCCATGAGGTCTCCTCTCAGCCTTAGCTTGTCTGCTTTAGTGTATTCAGAAGGCCTCTTTCATCTTGTTTCCGGAGGAATGGGTGGATTATTAGTTGAGTCCCCTCCTACGTCAATCATTAGTACAGCTGGTCCTTCCAGGAGTGATTCCAGCATTGCGTCGGAGTTTTCTTTGTGTTCTAGGAAATTCAAGAAACGAGTTCTCCACATTTGGTACTCCCCTTTCCTCAGAAAACTGACCGTTCGAGAAATAAGATCAGAAAATTTACTAAGTCAAGAACTCGAGTTCCTGAGTGTTCAAAGCCTAAACTCGAGGTCTGGGGAACTCGAGGTGAGAGTTCGAGTTTATGAACTCGAGGTCAAGAGTTCGAGTTTCCAAGAACTCGAGGTGTAAACTCGCAGGGTCAAAACTCGTGGTCAGACTGCGAGTTTGCAGGCTGCGAGTTTGTAGACTGCGAGTTGTTGACCGCGAGTTGTAGGCTGCGAGTTCTTGAGCTCGAGTTTGCAGGCTGCGAGTTTCTCAACTCGAGTTTACGGGCTGCGAGTTTATGCAATAACACCTTGGGCTGCGAATTCCTGAAAAAATAAAACTTCAGATTTTCAGAAAAACAAATATGGTAGGTTGTAGCCCTTGTAGTAGAGATCCTTTTACCCAAGTTTCAGGTCAAAAAGCTGCACAGAGCTTAGAGAAACGAGGGGTGCGAGTTCATGGGTGCGAGTTTACTTCTGAAGAAAAAATGCAGAAACGAAAAAGGAAGATATACTGCTTGATCGTCTTTGACACGCGATTCTAACAGTATAACTTTTACAGTATTTGGTGCAGAAATAAGATTACAGATGATAAACTCGCTATTCTACAAAAACAGAGTCTTTCGCAGATAGTTCTTCTGATCAGCTCTCGATCGGCTCTGATACCATTTGTTAGTCCCTGTTTTCTATAACAACAGTATAATATGGCATACAGATGAAAGATTAACAACAAAGATGAACACAGAAAGATCAAGTGTAAACCTTCTCTGATATACCGTGAATCTTTCGTACAAGAATGATAAGCGCTAAGGCTATTTTGAGCAGATACGAAAGTTAACCGCAAACCTGAGTCCTCCTCCCTCTTTTATAGGCGAGGCTCAGGTATGCGTACAAAGGCTTCTTGCCTGAGTATGGGCCTAACACTTGGCCCATATTGTATACTATTCTAACAAATATATTTAATCAGTACAGAATAGAAATAGCAAACATCTAACTTATTACAGACAAGACAGACAAACTTGATTCACAATAAATAGTCTTCAACATCTCCAACATGTTATATGATGTCTATTGCACCCTCCACGGCACGGCTTTTGGGATGAGTTGGATAGGAAATATAATACTGAGGACCACGGTCTTGAAAAGTATATTGTTTCTAAATTCCTACGATTTGACATGAAAGAAGGTAAATCGGTGTTAGAACAGACACAAGAATTTGAGCTTATCTTACATTCTCAGATTCTCTTCGTAAAGCAGATATGGAATCGCCTGAAAATTTTAAAGTGATGTCGGTCATAGAAAAATTTCCCAAATCATGGGAAGATTTTGGTATGACTTTAAAACATAAAATGAAAAAGATCACTTGGAAATCTTTGATGCATTCCATTACTGTTGAGGAGGAACATAAGAAAGCAAGTTATGTTGCGCCGGTTGAATTTCAGCCAAAGGCTCATGTGTTGACCAGGGGGAAACAGTCACAAATTTCTAAAAATAAACAACCATCATCTTTTAAACCAATAAAGGCCAAACTAAAAATTATAAAGAAACCAAAGGCAAACCGTCCATGTTGGAACTGTGGACAGATGGGGCATTGGGCCAAATTGTACCCAAATAAAAAGGCTAAGGCTCAATGTGGTGGACCTCAAGTCAACATGGTGACTGGAGGAACTAGTTCTGATGGGTATGTTTCTTTTAACCCTCAAGTTTTCACTATTTATAATTCCAATGAGTGGCTAATAGATACAGGAGCGAATGTGCATGTATATGCTGATAAATCGCTCTTTGTTTCTTATCAGCCTGCGGTTGGAAGAACAGTGATGATGGAAAACACAAGTGCTGCTAGTGTGCATGGAGTTGGAAAAGTAGAAATAAAATTCCCTTCGGGAAAAATTCTTACTTTGCATAGAGTTCATCACGTTCCCGAAATTAGAAGGAACATTGTTAGTGGTTTCATTTTAGTTAGGGAGGGTTATGAATTGTCTTTTAAATTAAATAAAGTTGTAATTTTATTTGGTGGATTTTTTATTGTCAAGGGTTACTTGTCAAATGGACATTTTAAGATTGTGGTTGATTATTTGGAATTAAATTATATATCTGAGAATTGTGATTCTTCTTGTTTATGGCATTGACACGTTAATTTATATTTTGTAAAAAGAATGATGAATTTAAATTTAATCCTTAAGCAATCTATTGATAAAACTAAGAAATGTGTGGTATGTGTTACAACTAAACAAGTAAGAAAACTTTATCATTCAATTGATAGAAATTCAGAATTACTTGATTTAATTCATACCGACATTTGTGAGTTTAATTGAGTGCTTACTCGTGACCAAAAGAAATACTTTATCACTTTTATTGATGATTATTCTAAATATTGCCATTGTATCTACTTAAGGGTAAAGATGAAGCTCTTGAAAAAATCTTAATTTTTAAGAATGAAATAGAGAATCAAACTGGCAAGAAAATTAAAAGGATTAGATCTGATAGGGGAGGAGAGTATACTTCCAATTTTAGTTGTACTAGAATGCCAAAAATATGGTATAGTACATGAGAAAACACCTCCTTATTCACCACAATCAAATGGAGTAGTTGAACGAAAAAATAGAACTTTTAAAGATATGATTAACAGTTTATTAGAGAATTCTGGATTATCTAAGTTTATGTGGGGGGAAGCCTTGAATACTACATGCTATATTCTGAATAGAATTCCCATGAATCATAAAGATAAGTGTCCATTTGAACTCTTGACGGGCAAAAAAACCAAGTTTGAAATATTTTAAATTGTTGGGCTGTCTTGCAAAAGTATTAGTCCCCTGAACACAAAAGAAAGAAACTTGGGCCTAAAACTGTTGATGCTATTTTTATTGGTTATGTTGAACATTCTTATGCATTGAGATTTTTGGTTATTAAATCTGAAATTTCTTGCATAGATGTCAATACTATTGTAGAACTTTGTGATGCTACTTTCTTTGAAGATGTTTTTCCGGTGAAAACGGGTGTGCCCCAAAATACTTCTTTTAAAAATTAAGAAACCACATTTAATTCAATTCATGATCAAGTGGAAAAGATGACAAATGTGGGGGTCGAATCTAGTAATTCTAGTCATATTGATTTCGAATCAAATGAGCTAGATGAGACGATAAGGAGCAAACGAGCTAGGATCACTAAGGATTTTGGAAGTGATTTTATCACTTACAATATTGAGGGTGATCCAATTTCCTTTAGAGATGCAATGGCCACATTTGAGGCCATTTATTGGAAGGATGCCATTAAAAGTGAAATGAATTCTATTGTTCAAAATGGAACATGGGAGCTTGTTGACCTTCCTCCTGGTTGTACCACAATTGGATGTAAATGGATTTTTAAAAGGAAGTTAAAACCAGATGGAACCATTGATAAATATGAGGCCAGATTAGTTGCTAAGAGTTATAAACAAAAAAGAAGGTATTGATTTTTTCGATACATATGCTCGTGTTGCAAGAATGACCACGATAAGAATGCTCATAGCATTGGCCTCCGTATATGGTCTTAAAATTCATCAAATGGATGTTAAGACAGCTTTTCTTCATGGTGACCTTGAAGAAGAAATTTATATGGATCAGCCTGAGGGATTTGTGGCAAAAGGCAATGAGAGAAAAGTTTGTAAATTAGTTAAGTCTTTATATGGACTTAAGCAAGCCCCTAAGCACTGGAACGAAAAATTTGATAAAATAATTTTTCATTTGGATTTACTCTTATAGATGTTGATCAAAGTGTTTATTATAAATGTAAAGGTGATATAAGCATTATTTTATGCCTATATGTTGATGATATATTATTATTTGGCATTAATGATAATATTATTTTTGAGACTAAGTCAATATTGAAAACTAAGTTTGAAATGAAGGATATGGGGGTGGCTGAAGTAATTCTTGGGCTAAAGTTGACTAGATCTACTGAAGGCATTTGTATTTCTCAGTCACATTATATTGAAAAATTAATTGAGAAATTTGGATTTAAAAATAGTAGAATTGCTAAAACACCATATGATCCTTCAGTAGCTTTGTATAACAATGAAAGTCGTGTTCCTGTGTCTCAATTATGATATTCTCAGACGATTGGTAGCTTGGGTTACTTAGCTAACTGCACTAGACCTGATATTGCATTTTCAGTGTCTAAACTGAGTCGGTACACTTGTTGTCCAAACAGAACTCATTGGGAGGCCTTAAATAGAGTATTTAGATACTTGAAAGGGACTATTTCCTTGTGTTTGCATTATGGTAAATATCCTCATGTTCTTGAAGGATATAGTGATGCAAGCTGGATAGCTAAGAACTCTGGGAGTTATTGCGGCCACACAATAACATTCTCATAGTTGGACATCTCCAAGAGTGCATTGCTAACCCTCTGCAATTAAGCTCGATCCCATTCTCATAGTTTATTCTTGTTTCATCATTGAGTTAACTCTATTAACTGGCAAATTTGGCAACGGTCGAAGGTTTCAATCAAAGTAGCTACAAGCGTGAAACGTGGTGGGATTATCCTGGGAGCGAGCTAGCCAGACCCGTCCGAATAGCTATCGGGATACGGGGGCTATCTTTCTTCAAGGCCAGACCATTTTAACGGGCAATCCTGCGATAAGTTTTCCTTATCTTTTCTCTTTGTTCATTTTTTAATTATTCTAATTATTGTTATTTTTTGTTTGTTCTTGCATTTGGTTGTTTGTCTGGTGATTTGTTTAAATTCGGGATTTTTATCTGGTTAAACTCGCATTATTAATATCATTTATCTAACAAAGACTTCATTGAGAAACTTAAAAAAGATTTGATAGCTTTGTGGGTGGAGTACAAAGGAATGAGTGAAACCTTGAATGTGGAGAGACAAAGCTTGCAAGTGCAATTGGATATTGGAGAGAGTGATGGAGGTGATGGCCTTTGAGATGAGTTGTTCAATGATGTAGAGGAACAAAATGAAGAAGAGCAACTTCAAGAGATATCGAATTAGGTTGAAAAGTACCTATGTGATGAGATTGAAAAAAGATCTAATCCATCTTTCAATCTTTTGGAATGGTGGAAAGGGAGCGAAACCAGGTACCCAACTCTTTCAATTATTGCCAAGGATATCTTTGAAATTCCAAGCTCAACGGTTGCTAATGAGTCTGCATTTAGTTTGGGGAAAAGAGATGTGGATCTTTTTAGAAGTTGTTTGAGACCCAAAATGGTGGAGGCATTAGTGTTGACTGATTGGTTAAGAGCGGAGGAGTTCAACTTTTATAACGATCCAAGTGATGAAGACCTTGAGTTGTATAAACAAATTGAAGAAATGAAAAATGTAAGTCTTTATTTAATTAAATCTACACATAAATTATTATTATTTTGTTTATCTTATGGCTTTGGTATGCTTATTTTTGCAACTGTAAATGCTATTTAGCATTGTCCATGCCGTCAATTACACCGGGATAGAGCGTAAGACAACACAGTACGCTTCTTATGTCATCTTGTATTCTTTTTCTTGGATTAACTTCTGGACTATAATTATATTTTAATATAATGACAAATGTTTAACTAAAACAAAAACCATCATGACTTTTGATATGCAGTGATTATTGTGATATTCCCATATCGACACTAATGAACATGTAATCATATTTTTTCTATGGCTTCATTTTAATAAAATTATAAGAACAATATTTTTTCTGTTGCATTTACCTAAGACCTTTCGTTCCTGTTTTGGACATATGTTAGTCATGCCTTGAAATACTTACGATACTATGTGATGCTATCTTCTTATTAATATGATGCATGTGAGTGTTTCTGACATGGTTACAGGGTATGCATCTCTCATTTCTGTTGATGGGATTAATTAATTACCCATCCTCATTTTCTTTTTGGCAGTCCTGCATGTAATTTATAGTGCCATTACTATGTGGCTTGGAAGACTAAAGGCACTCAGATGGAAAATTTCTTATATTTATTTTTGTATAAATTATGTTGGACCATAACATGTGACGGAATTTGGTTTAACCAATATGTCCTAAAAAACATTTCCCTAAAATCATGGAATAATAGTGGTGTTTTAGTGATGGTTTCTGGCTTTGTGGATTCAGTGGGAGAAGAAATATTGTACAAACCTTCTTCCTTGCGCCAGAGGAGAAGGTTTACTTTATCCTCAATGATATCTTTCACTGTATTGAATAAGAAAAGATAACCCCACATCACTTATTTAAGTCTGTCTAAACATGTAAAATTGGGAGTACAACAGAACTGATTTATTTTCATTTACAAGAATGGAGGAGGAATGGAGGAGTGAAGTTTTAGTCTACTTATCTTTTGGAGCTGCAACAATCGTTCAAAGATTTGTTATTACAAACATTAATTATCATTGATTTATGGTGGATAACTTTTATAATTTTCATTATGGATCGTGTTGAGACTTGAGATATTAGCGCATAATTTTAGTATTTTCTATTTTGGATTAAATATTGTGTTTTAGTTTTGGTATGAGTTTATGTAATTGATGTCGTATACTACTTTCGACATATTAAAATCAGATTTTATGGATGTTCGGTAGGCCCCTTATGCCGATGCTTTATACGGAATCGTCTTACAAGATTAGTGTTGTGAATTTTCGGTATAAAACAATACGGGTTCCATACCATACCGAATTTTCGGTATACCGTAAGTTTCGGTATGGTAACGGTATGACATTTATAAATACCGATATTTCGGTGCGATATGCGGTATGATGTGGAAATTTCGGTATGCCATACCGAACCAACCCTAGTTACACTAAAATATAGTTTGTACTAACATATGGGATTATTTAAAATGCACTGCACATATGAAGAATGGCATCCCTCTGAATCATTTTTCAT